AAGACGAAGACGGCATCCTACCACCAGCTTCCGGCAACGAACCCTTTCTTCCTGAAGTGAATGATGACGACGAAAAATCGAAACTTGCCATGTCTCTTTCCTACTCTGGTCATCATATACCTGGTCGATATCTATGTGTCATAGTGGAGCCGTATCCTCCGCTTCCACCAGAACAGTTACCTAGAGCATCTACTGTAGAGCCACCTGAAGTGCGGTTCCGCACAGGGCCTGCAGTTCCCATATTGCAAGGGGTCAATAATGTTCCGCTCAGCTCCCGAGCAGGCTCCGTTCGATTTCGGTCGACTACACCACTATTTTTACCAGAAAATGAAGACGATGGGGTTACGGAAATCCCTTCGGGTCATGGCGGACAGACCAGGGTACTGCCACCTGTCCCACTATTTGGTCGAGTCGAGCGTGACGAAGGAGATTCTGATGGAGAAGCCGGGAAGGGACTACTCGCGTTTAGTCAAGCTTTAGCTCAGGTGGGACATGAGGAAGGAGGTGATGATTCAGATGAAGATTATTTGAGAGGGGATGCCGACGAAAATCCACGAATGTTAGATTGATATATCATAAATTATACAAGTGATACTCTATAGCTTTAAGCTCTCCCGAGCTCTCGTAAAATCTCCAATTTGCGCTGGTGATCAACCTGTTTGAACCCAGCACTGCTCATCTCAAATGTTGCCTGGCCACCTGAAACAGCCCGCAGTCTCGACTGATAGTCCAGCATCTTGCTGAGAGGAGCAATTGCGTAGATAGTTCTCTTCTGTCGAGAGATGGCATCTGCATCGCCACTATTAGTCAAGGCAGAAGGTGTGATCCACGATGGTGGAATGAATAACCCCTCTGACGAAAATGGAACAACGTCGTCACCTTGTGTCCCTCCGATAGAGGATAAAGTAGAGTGGTCAGTTTCCATTTCGTGGATCACTCCGCCATTCTCCGTCAGATCCTTTACAACCTTGCCCATAAAGCTCTCTGGTACCGCCACCTTCACATTGATGAATGGTTCCAGAACATCACCACCGCCTACTTCCTGGAATATTTGCCGGAGTAACAACGTCGCAGCCGATGCCAAGGCGGCTGGTGGAGATCCTTGCGCTAGTGAATGTTTTTTCACTTTGACACAAGTGCGAGTCATCGGTAGGAGTGCATGAGGAGATGCTGATAGAGGCCCTTGAATACCCTGGACAATAGCGATGATTTCAGGGCTGATCTTCGCAAGTTCAAGGGAAGAAAATGGAAGTGGTGTACCGCTAGCATCCAAGACGAGGTTCCCGTCCCACTCCTCATTGCCCGTTTCAGATTCGTCTAATCTCCTCACAGAGAGTTCTATGGTTGCCTTGGCAGGTTTTCCCATGATTTCTTTGTCCCAGTGCAATTCTTTCGACACCTCCGGGATTTCTGGGAAGGTCTCTTTGTAGCTGACGCGCCTTTGACCTAATGAACAGTTGGCATGAAATTCATCTTTGAGACGATCTTCCACGATTTCGAGATGTAATGCACCGAGTCCATGCACCAGAGTTTGTCCATCCTCAACAGACCATCGGACAGAAGGGTCCGTTCGTGCCAAAGAGGTGATAGCTTGTTGCACAGATTGTAAATCTGACTGACTTTGTGATACCACAGCCGCTGAGATCGTAGCTGGAGGAGGGGATATCGATCCTACAATTGACCCTTTTGGGTTACCCCGAGTAGGTTGTGGGGAAACAAGGGTGTCACCAGTGCGGGTAAACTTGAGCCCGAGAATGACACCAACTGAGCCAAATGGTAATGATTCGACTTCTTTTTGCTCGGCTGCATAGCAAAGCAGAAGTTTAGAAATACGCTCTTTTTGTTGCGTTACAGTGTTATAGAGAGTTGTTGACTTTGTGAGGGTTCCTAGGGGAGAATTCAAGACTTTCTCAAAGCTGTATAATAGAGAGCACTTACCACCGTAGACACGAACAAATGTCATCCATCCTTTTTGTCTATCCCACCCAACTTTCCACGCCAATACAGTCACAGAACCCGGCTTGTTGGTTTCGATATCTGTACCTGGAACATCTAAAGGACTAGCCAGTAGCTCTCCAATATAATTCATGAGATTCCTGGTTCCTATATGATGTAGTGCCGAGCCGCAGAACACTGGGAGGATTTCTTTTCTGAGAGTAAGGTCCCGTAAATGCGGAACGATTTTCCCGGGTGGAAGTGCGAGATAGGGATCTGGTGCATCCAGTGTCAAAAATTCGTCCAGCAATGGAGGCGAGTGCACGGAGAGGAGGTCAATTAAATCGGTTCGTGCTTGCTTGATGATGGGACGTAATGGGTGATCTTCAGCCAACATCTCTTCAGGCTTGCCGCTTTCGACATCGTCATGACTTGGAACGTGTGTCTTTTGATGCGGATCCTTCCACCGAAAGGCTTTCCACTCCACTATGTCCACGATACCTTCCAAGGATGGCTCTCCACTTTGATACACTCCGGAATCAAATGATGCTACTGGGAGGCAGAGTATCACCGGTCTGGGATGAAGCTGATTGGATAGTACTGATAGCAAAGAATCTCGTAGTGAAGCACCGGCCCTGTCCAGCTTGTTGATGAAGAGTAGACGTGTGGGCACTTTGTGCCTGGCCGCAATTTCAGTATGTCGCTCTTGAAAAAAAGTAATATCGTACCTATTTAGTTGGGACCAAACGCCTTTTGTTTGAGCTTCTACGCCTTCGACTCCGTCAAGGAGTACAATTGCTCCATCGACGACCCGACTCGCACTCTCTACTTCCATCCCAAAATCTGCATGTCCGGGAGTATCGATAAGATTGAAGTTCCACTGCTTCCAATGCACTGGAATACTGGCAGACTGGATGGTAATGCCTCGTTCGCGCTCAGCTGGAAGAAAGTCCGTTGTTGTACTCCCGGTATCTACAGAACCAGGTGTAGAAATGTACTCTGATGCATGCAATATGGATTCGGTAAGAGTTGTCTTGCCGGAATCTATGAAAGCCAGTTAGAGCCAAAATAATTCAGAGACAGGCCAACTCACCGATATGCGCCATGAGAGCAATATTGCGAATCTTGGCTGCATCTGTATGGGCAGCCCGAATGATCTGAAAACTTGTTCTGGCTAGAAAAAGCCTTTTTTTGGCTATTTGGCGCGGGAAACGGAGCATGTTAAGGGGGCAATGGCATTTGGTCAAATTTGGTAGTTGTTCTGGCTGGCACCAAGTTGCTTGACCGGTAAACTTGGACAGGACCAACTCCTGCCACGATGACCGAACCCAGAGACTCAGCAACTACGGATAATGGGGCTACTTCATCGCAGAGACGAGATCACAATACTCTGGAGACCATACCGAGGACATATGATAAGCAAGCAAAAACTTTCCCTCCAAACACTCCGTTCGCTGCATCCTTGACCTCATTTCTTCTGGGAGGGCTCTTTTTTGTGGGGTCCTGGACTATTATAAATAACAGTGGAATACTCAGCGCCCTGGTATCCGGTCGATGGAGTGTCGTTGCGGTCAATCAACCTTCCGTGCAGCTGGCGTTCTTCTTCTCGGCATGGGCATTCTTCCATTGGGCAGAATTCGCGGTGACCGCTGGTTGGAATAGAGAAAAGTGTAGCTCCAGCTGTAAGTTTTGGTCTCTACAAATTACCCTGACTGACGTGCAGTTAGCTTTTCTCCTGGACAACGGAACCGAATACCACGTCGCTCATACAGTTGCACTCATTGAATTCATCATCACTTATTTCTTCTTCCCAAACGCCAAAAGGTGGTCATTTGTGACTCCGTTAGGTATTTGAATTTACTCACCTCCAAACACCTTATTCACCTTCAAATTTGAAGGCATGCTTGTAGTATTTCTTGGACAAATCGTCCGTTCAGGTGCAATGATCAGTGCTGCCAACAACTTCTCGCACATAATTCAATATAAACGACAACAGGACCATCAACTCGTTACCAATGGGATATATAGGTTTGTTTCATGCCTTTCTGCCAAGGAATATCTGACATTAGCCCGTCTAGTTGGTCGAGACACCCATCCTATGCTGGATTCTTTTATTGGGGGATTGGAACTCAGATCGCTTTACAGAATCCAATCTCTTTCTTAGGCTATGCCATCGTTCTCTATCGCTTTTTCTATCACAGGATAAAATGTGAGTTCTATATCACCTACTACCTTAATAGAAACCGACGATGTCAAACACAGATGAGGAGCGACTATTGGTACTCTTCTTTGGGAAGGATTATGAGGCGTATAGAGCCAGAGTTCCTACTCGGATACCCTTTCTTCGTTAAACTATCGCGGTGACTTTGTGACTCTCGCTAGTTAGGCTTTTTATCATGTCATATTTCAGTAAGATACATAATCTCGCCATATGTGCCTAGTTCGTGCGACCATGAATCTAAGGGGACACGGCAAAGACCTAATCTGTGAGGACAGTTCCCCTTTCAGACACATAAATGCCATCCAAGAACTTTCGGATATCCTTGTTGCGAACCGGGCAGGCACCGTGGATGGAGGCAGCTAAACGGGCCTATCAGTGGATCGTCGTATTGATCGAGAAAGGACACTAACCAGATTGCGAGACATTGCTGACATCGTTTCCTTCCAAGATGAGCTCGTCCTTTTGATTCTTAGATTCCGAGATAGTGACCCCTTCCAACATTGGTACATGTCGGACAGTCTAGAATGCCAATGAGATGAGCACTCCGCACTGACAATATCGTGTCATACGAACCTTCTCTCCCAAGAAGTTTCTGATTTCTACGGTCCTTCCACTATCTTGGATGATGCAGTTGATTGGGAAATGGGCATAGACAAGACGCATCTTGTATTGGAAGCCCTACACCGACTAGTAAGAATTCGACCTCTCCAGGAGGCTTATAAGCACTCACTTTTGTGACACCAGTAACCATATTCTCAATCAAAGACTTGATTGTTCTTAGGCAAGCGACATGCTTCCTACCTCCTTGCCAGACGGCCAAGGTAACCTTGTTCTTCTTGCCCTTGATGAGCTGGATGTCCATGTTTATGTGGCGAACATTCTTTTCCAGCTTTCCACGCGGGCCTTCCACAGTGATTAGTCGTGATTTGATGGCGACTTTAACGCCCTCTGGGACATCGAGCTCTTCAGTCTTGAGAATGTCGCGCATCCTAATAAGACCGCAAGAAGTTACATGACGAAGAAATGTTTGAATAGTGGTTAGCGAATGTATTTCCCAAGGTCCAGAAATATATACCAACTTTTTGAGGAGTGTTTAGGAGGACGAGGGGTGACGGCGGTTGGTTTGTTTGGACGGCTTGTTTGGCTTCGGCTTAGCAATAGCAACTTGGTCTCCACCTCACCCTACCCCTTTACCCGTGGTATTCCAGAATTTGCAACAAAATTAAATTGAGCATCGTTGTATCGACGGTATCAGAGGAAAAGAGTCTGTTCTTGCGAAAAGACTGTCTCGTTCTAGAAGACTAACTAGTCAGCGCCATTGACCCCAAAGTCGTTGTCGTTCCATACCGCGAGCAATCTATAGTGCTCTTTCAGTCCAACTGAATTACTTTGTGCATATTTTGTTCGTTTTCACGCCATCCGTTGAGATCAGCCAACCAGTCGTCATGTCCGTCTACAACGCTTACGCAGCAACGTCCCACGGCCCATCCGCGCCCTTCTTCTCTCAGCAGACCAGACAGCCTCAACCCTACCAACAACCATATCAAGGCTACTACGCTCCTACACCTCAGCCACCACCTATGGACGAGAATGAATTTCGAAGCTTTTATGCTCAGCGTCTTGGCACACTCACTGTCAATTCCCGTCCCATCATTCAGGACTTATCTATGCTAGCACAGAGTTACCCTCATATGGCTCATGTAGTCGTAGATGCTATTGAACGCCAGGTCCGCAATGTGAGTGCCTTTTCAGTGCTGATAGCCCTTAATAATATTTGCCGACTTGCTAATTGTCTCTATAGATGGCTCCTCCTTTCAAGTTACCTTTATTCTATTTATTGGATTCCATTGCTAAGAATGCTTTCGAACCATACGCAGCTGCTTTTTCCTCTCGCATAGTTCGCTTGTTCTTGGACACATACTATGCGGTTGACCAGCAGACCCAGCATAAAATGCGTGAGATGATGGCTACCTGGAGAAGTGGTTCTCCTAATCATAGGGAACTATTTGGTTCGGCAGTACAATCTGAGATTGAGCGCGTTTGGGGAACATCGGTACGGCGCCTTTTGCCCCTGACTCTCCCAAGACCACTCAAGCCATCCGTTCTCTCCGGGCAGCGTGTTCCTTCTGCTTCACAGGTAATGACTGAGCTGGACGTCGTCTTGGTTCAAAAGGAAAGAGCAGCACAACAAAATCCATATGATGAACTCCTCCCTCGACATATCAATGCTCTGCAAGAGGTGAGTGCTCGCGGCATTATTTATACCGTCTCGTTCTAACCAGTTTCATTCAGCTTAAGAAAATGGTCCCGACGATGAACACAGGTGATTTAACTGCCACATTAACAAGGCTTCGGGAGATGGCGAGAGCTAGCGTGGGTACAGTGCAGCATATACCAGTTCAACCCGCTCCTCCTGTATCGTATGGTCCAACGGGCTATCCCACGATGTCCCAACCTCCTTTTGGATACCCTCCCGCGCCTGCTGTCCTTCCCACCTCGATAGTGCCCTCCGTAAATATGCCTAACAACACGTTAAATACGCAAGGCATCATTTCTTTGCTATCGTCAATTACTTCGTTGCAGCCGGCCAAGCAGTCAGTCAGCGCACCTGTAGCGATTGAGATCTCTGCCACTACATCCTTAGAAGATTATGAGAAAGCCATACTTCGATGCAAATTGAAAATAACATCCAACGATATTGCAAGGTCAGTTACTAGTTTAAGGGTACTCCGCTTAAAATCCTTACATTTCTTACAGAACTCCGCCGCAAGTGTTGCCTTTCCTCTATATTAAGAACTCACCTCAGTGTAATGAATGCGGCATGCGTTTTCCTGCTGGCGAGGATGGCAAAGTCAAGCTCCGGGACCACCTAGATCAACACTTCCGTCAAAATACGAGGGCTACCGAAAATGTTGGAAGGGGGTTCTCGAGGAGCTGGTTCGTTGGAAAGAAGGTATGATCTCAAAATCTTGGGTGAGAATTTCTATTGACATTTCTTAGAACTGGGTCGCCGATATTCCAGAACATCCTTTAAACAAGACAAAGCGTTCTTTCGCTAAGATGACGGACAAACAAAGGGCGGAGGCAGTTGAAACCCTACGAAAGGAGTTGGAGGCTAAATTCTTAGTTGTGCCTCCTGGAGAAGAAGGAAAGGAGATTAGATGTGGAATTTGTATGGAAGTGATTAAAGTCGAATTTCAAGAAGACGACGATGAGGGTGACTGGGTGTGGAAAAATGCGGTGAAGGTTGACAACAAAGTGGGTTCAACTTTGAAAGCCTTAAACCACCAAAATCCTAATATGCCAAAGATATACCACGCTACTTGTCATCACGACTGGGCCAACTCTAGCTTCAACAAGCAGCGTCTCGCTGAGATGAACTCGAGTCGTCAAGGCACTCCTGAAGTGCACTCTCGTGGGACTGGTTCTCAAGATGGCACACCGTTGCGTATCAAGTCGGATTCCCCAAAGACGCCACCTCGACTTCTGGCTGTAGCCGGGACAAAGCGGAAAGCGGCCATATCAAGTGACCCTAACCGACCTGCTCTACTCTCATCGAAGGAAGGCACCCCCTTGTCACAAACCGAAGATGATGAGCCTCGTCTCAAACGCAGAGTCGTTCAAACATAATAGCAGCATTACACTATGCACAACATCTTTATCATTAAAGACTAATTATTTGTTAGAGGCTCCCTTGGGTTTGTCGTTGGTTTCTTTTGTTTAGGTGCTCATGGTT